TATATTAAGAAACTGATACTTACTTTCACAATGCACTCTCACACTGAGATGGTACCGTTAAATAACCTGGGGCGGTGTATTTGTCCTTGAAACTTTCCAAAAATTCTTGCATTCTTTCACCCCCACCCTAGAACATTGTGTTCGCATAACGGGACGAAATAATGCAGAGCTCGGTTCACACTAGTGCGAAAATAGTGTTAAACTCACCATGTGAAACAAAAGTGAATGAATATTAAACAACATATAAACTTAAAAAAAAAAGCCCCGGTTAAGCCGCAAACCGGTTAATCCGCCCCCGGATAATCGAGAGTTGACTGTATGTACTTATGTCTTGTTGAAGCCCACACTATACAAAATACAAGTAGGAATTTATTTTTATGTTCATATGATACAATTAAAACTTTCATTTCACTGGTTTCAAATGTGATTCCAGTGTATAAACATTTTTTCATCGCAGTCTGACCATTTATATCATAGTGATGTTAGCAGCTCCCCCTTTCTTTACTCTTACAGTTTGGGGGATGGTTGCTGCACTTGTCCCTGGTTCTGTCATGTTCTCAGTGCTCCCCAGACGGAATGCACAGTTTGATGGAGAGGACTTTTTTTTCCTAAACAACTGGAGGAAGGGGAAATCACATGGTATATTCAATTGCGGGATAAAGGTAAACAAGTGATGACATGGATGCCCGGAGGGTGGGCATGAAGGAGGGGAGGATACCTGACCGAAACAGGCAACCCATGAGCCATCCCGAACATAGAACATGACTCAGATGAAAATTTACAAACATATGTTGAGCTTTGTGAAAATATGGGCAGAAATCTTTACTGTAGTTTCATCTCTTAAATTTTTATTTCCAGGTCCCTTCAGGCTTTTATTATTGGGGAGGTAATGTAATCAACATAGACTCACTTGCAATGAGTTATGTTGATGACTTATATTGGTATTCTATTTTAATTTTAGTGTAAACTCACCTGTTGGAATATTCTCCAAATAGTGTGGAAGATTTTGAGGATCTGTGAAGACATTACCGTTGATCACAATGCTACGAGGTTTATCAAGAACACCATCTCCTCCAAATACTACAACTGCAAACCTTCAGAAAGAGGGATAAATATATTTTAAAATTAGTTTAAATACTGACAAGCACATGCTTAGTTATGGAACAAATGCTATGTAATGATTACAATGAAATAAAAATATACAGTCATTAATGTCTAACTTGAACCAAATTTGGAATGGATAGACAACTGTTACTAAAGCTCGCCAGTATCAAATTTCATGTAATTACGTGATATGGTTCTCAAGCTATTACATGTGGACATAAATGTAAAGCCAATAGGCAGATTTTAGCAAATTTTCATTGTGAACACATCAAAATTGAAAATGGAATCTCCATTTGCGATTTCTTGAAGATAAGAATGTTACTTGTTCTCACTTATTTGAGGTTTCATGGTCCCATGTCAGTCCTCTCAGTTTCAGAGACTGAAATGTTTAATAATACAAAATGCACTCCCTTGTTGGTTTCACAGTGAAGAACTTTACTGTTGGTAGAAAGAGTGTCACTATTAAGAAGTTATAATTCTGTGTATTCTGAGTATATAAGAATTGTACACTAACCAAATTTGAGTAGACATGAAAATAATGGAATTTTATTCACTGTATATGAAATAAATTGCATGGAGCAAAATCCAAAGTTCTTGTAATCAAAGAATTTTTATACTTTTAATACCAATAGTTCTTTATTAGTAAGATCACAACTAAAATTTGATGCATGAATTATGGAAGCAATGCACTGATTATGGAAATGCATAACTTCTTCTAATAAATGAAATATTATTATAGTATCTTACCTATTAGACGTTATTTTCAATTCTGTAAGTTCCTTTAACAGTAAAGAAGTCAGAGAATCCATGTTTCTTCTGTCTTTTATATTTCTGTTACAATCTTTGGCTTCTATTATGAACACAATGTCCGTTGATTGTGGGATTGCATTATTCTTCAAGTGACAAAAATCTCCTTCCACCAATTCTGTTCCATTTACCAGCTGGCACCTAAAATAACATATTAAACCATTTGTTTTGTTAATAATAGGTTTCACACTAGACATGGAACTTGTTAAAATAAATAATCCGGCCAGACTGAAACCTCTTCAGCAAGATAAACACTTTTTAATCAGGACATTAAGTGATGGATTTCTGAAGAAAATGAGTTCTGAAAATACCCTAATCCATACAGACAGATTAGCATTATATGACAATTATCAGATATAACCAAAATATTTTAGTCTTATTACTTCAGATCTGTTTATATGCATGGAATATTTAATTGCTACAATACTGAAAAAATGTGACAATTGCATGTCTTCATAATTACTATGTGAATTTTAATGCAAAAGTTGGTTTTCAGTGGTGAAAACTGGTGTAGAATTCCGGTCGTGTCGAAATAAAATTTCATGACCCAGTATTATCTCTGTTTCTCACAATTATACATGAGTAAAAGTAGTTCTGAGGTCTCTAGTCAAGCAGTGACTCTTAACTTCTTCCCTGACCTGGAGCATATCAATTCTTTTTTAGATGCCGGTACATAAACTACAAAATATAAGAGGATTCAAAGCTTTCATCAAATGCCAAAGAAAAACATTTTCTTTCATAATGCTCCAGTTTTAATAACCTAATGGCACTCTACTAGCCTGGGTGAGATATTTTCTACTGGTAGTCTGTGAAGTTCTGCGTTGTCTAATAACATTACAATGTGGGTTTATTTCCTCATATATCATTACAGTCACAGGAACTGAGTGTGGTGGGATTGTATCATCTAGCCTCTGTGCATCTTGTCCTATCAGATCACCCAGTCTTTCTCTAAAGAAATTAAAAGAATTGGGTCATCTGGTTTGCACATTCTACAATGTCTGGAAAACCAAGAGCCTGGCAAGGAAGACTGAGGTTATTTGTGAACATTATACTGTCTTTGTTATGGCTGATGAATCTAAAAAAGGGAGTATGCATTAGAATGTTGATGTTTCAGTTTTCACTCAAATGCAACATATAATATTAGAGTTGAGCTGACTAGAAGTGAACAGGTGCAGTGTTGTGACCAGTTTTGTTAATGTGAAATAATGAGTGAACAAAGAATTGATCTTAGGTGTGTAAGTATTTATGGAAATTGGGACAGTAATTACTTCTTATATTGATAATTTTTACATTATTATTTTGGGCTTGCACTGTATATATTTACTCTAATTGTTTCAAAACACTTTCATCAACACTTTTAACAAAAAGTGCTATATTTTAAATCACCACCTGCCGCATTTCAAAATGACAAAGCATTTAGGGCAGCTAAAAACATGAACAGTGCAATGTCATCCAAATATCTGCAGAGACCCTGGCTCTGGTTATGTGCTATAATCTCACAAATTTAACTTAAGGAAGCTAAATTTGATGGCTGAAGAAATGTACATACTTGACACATATGTCAGGAATCCTGAGAGGAGTGTTCTCCATGAGGCATGCTTGCAGGTAGGCAACAGCTGTGATGCATACATCATTACTGTCCAACCCTCTGCTGTTGAGACACATTTTCAGGAAAGGCATAGGATCAATCTGACAAAAGAGAAACAGAGGACAAAATGTTACCAATGAGGAATCAATTTTCCCTGCAATTATAATCACACTTTGTAAATAAATGTGCAAAAAAGATCCTTAATTGAAATATATTGTTTTTAGAAAGTATTACATTAACCCTCAGATTCAGAATTAGCAAATAAATTGTTATTCCATCAACTTCTGCAATTTGTTTGCATCTGAAAATTACCATATTTGTTTATACATTATACCACTGGACAGTGCTACTTACAAGGTACAATATAAAGATAAAGCTATGTTTTGCTACATCTATATGGTAGAATTACAATTAGTGTTGGCCAACAGATGTGTCCTATTCTTCATGGATACAGATTTTTGCATAAATGTGAGCTGCAATGTTACGAATTTTGAACTCATAATAATGAAAGTTCTACAGAAATCCAAGGTGCACTAACCTTGGATTTTTGTGAACTACGCAGCAAAAGAGTTTAGAAGATTAAAAACTGCAGTCAGCTCTTAAGCTAACAAACTGATATATTAGCGTCCATTTGTCTATAATCTGTCTAAATTGCAACACTATTTATTTTACACTTTGATACACTCTCTAACACTACATGTTTCGGCCTCAAAAGGCCATCTTCAGGTGCTTTTTTACAGATATTCAATTAAGATTGTGTTGAAATTGTGTCGAAACTGCTACAATGTTTCACTGTTCCAATTCATTTAAAAAAAAACCATATGCTGTAGTCTTCTTTTTAATTAAAATAATATAAAATTCTTTTATAATTTGTCACTTATTGTTTTGCTTCACTCAGGGTGTCATAATTTCTGTAAAATATAAGATGTTTTCCTTGGCAGCTTGTTCCTCATGTTAGTTATCTGAAATTTATAAATTCCTATATAAATGTTGTTTTCAATTTGTTGTTGTTGTTGTTATTATTATTATTGTTGTTATTATCATTAGTATTATTATTACGTTGTGTCTGTTTACTTTCTCACTTTCTCACTTTCTCCTGGTGTGTGTTCCTTCCTCAATGTATGCTGTTATCTTTACTAGTGTCGATGAGGTGTGTTTGTTCCTGTATTTATATGTTCTGGTTGTGAGGAGTGGGGAGAGATGGGGGGGGGGTATAATGTTTTGTTGTGTAATTTTGTATAGTATTTCAAATATAGGGTTGTGTGTGTCGATGTTTGTGTCATTCATATGTAAATCTTCTTTACTAATTTTGTAAATATGGTATTTCTCCAGTGTATTTAGATGTTTTCATTTTTTTTTCCCATTGTTATGGTTTCCATAGTGTCTGTTATTGTGCCATGCCTGTGTCCGGTATTCAATATATGATTTGAATATCCTGAATTACTATTGTTACTTTTTATGTCGTGAATGTGTTCTTTATATCTGGTTTTGAATGTTCTCCCTGTTTGTCCAATATATTTTAATGGGCAATCTAAATATTTCATTTGATAGATTCCACTTTTATTATATTTATCCATTTGTGGTTTTGGTTTAGTATATTTTGTATTGTGTTTTGCGTGCAGGAAGCTACTTTTATTTTTGTATCTCGGAAAAGTTTTGTGATTTTTCTTACTTCCTTTCCGCTATATGTAAAGGCTATCCACTTCGTTTTTTGTTGCTGTGAGTTTTCCTGTATGTTTTGTTTTTGTTTCTTCTGGGGGGGGGGGTGTATGTTGCTAGATAATTTTATGTCATATTCATTATTGTATAATATATTTTGAATTGTGTTCATTTCTAGTTGAATATCTGTAATAAAACACCTGAAGATGGTCGTTTGAGGCCGAAACATGTAGTGTTAGAGAGTGTACCAAAGTGTAAAATAAAAAGTGTTGCAATTTAGATGGATTATAGACAAATGGACGCTAATGTGAACAATTGCAACAGGATGCTGAAATACAGAAACTGATATACTTTCTCTACAAAATGAATACTATTTACACACTGATTTTCTAAATGCTTAAACGTGCACAGGAAAAGAGGAACTACATGAGTTCTATGAAAATTTTAAATGTTTATATTTGGATAATAAAATTATCACTCATTAACAATACGAGTCCCATTACGTGCGCAAAGTTTCATAGTATGAGCAAGTTAAAGTATGATTATATATGATTACAAGAAAATGTCAATTTGCAGATACATGTATGCATTTCTGGCACTGTTCTTTACAAAAATGCCAATTTAATTAATACATTTTCTGAGTCTGCTGAGGTTTCTCTGTAAATGCATTACTGTCAGACTTGACAGTCTAAAGAGATCAAGAAAAACTTTAGCATAATTTCTAATGTTCAAACCACAGGATTTACTGAGATAAGCTTTATGATGTGGAGTTAATGAAGATGAATACAAACAAAGAAACAAACTCTGTGGCTTGAGTCCACAAGCAAACTATACCAACCGAGCAACCACCGCTTGTCGGAGAAGTTAGTCCCAACTTTAGAGCAAAAGGGTGTTGTGTGGTAAGCGCAACGAATCCTCACGGCCATTAATTTTGGTTTTCTAGACCGGAGCCAGTATTTCCTTGAAATAGCTCCTCAATTATCTTCCATGTTTTAATATATAACTGGAGACAGAATAAAGCAATCTGACATACTATATTCAAAGTTGAGAAACCTGTTGTGCCCTCTGAAAAACTAAGAAGAGGTTAGTTGAAATTTTTAAGAGGTTAGTAAGTTTCATAATAGGAACTTCATCAGATCTGTTCAGTTGTACCTTAAAATTATCTGTAAAAGTACTGATCTGAGAATTTTTGTGCAAATCCTTCACTTCAGCTATACTTTCGCTTATCTGTATTGTGCAGTTATGAAGGTGACTAATACTTACAACAGGAAAACAAGAACTGAACTGTGATGTCTTAGACTTGAAAAAAGATTCACACAGATTTAAAAGTTCAGGGTCAGTCTGTGAAAGCTGCAGAGCAAAGTTCTTTGAAGAAACACATTTCTGTGGTTCCAAAGCCCAACTCCTCGCAAATCTGCCTAAATCAGTTTCTATTGTTTTTCTGGGTGTAAGGAAATCAGTGCTTGGTTCATTATCCATAGTTCCAAAAACACCTGCAGTTTTACCAAAATACCAACCTGAAACAAAGAAAATGTAAATTTCTACAGTACATTTAAATGAAATCATGAAAAGAGTCTGACAAGATGAGGGGAAAAAATCTGCAACTTCACGTTCATTAGGCATAATGAGAGGTGTGGTTTCTTTAAGACTGTAGTCTTATGGGATGTGATGATACATATCTTGGTAGATGGTTACCAGTGCATTGCAGAAACATGCTGCCTTCACATTCAACACAATTTTTGTACCCTGAAGGTGGAGTCAACAGATTTTTCTAAATGTTACTAACATCTCAAATTGTGTCAAATTTTATGATTCAACTGTGTTAAATGTTGGTAGGTACTGAGTTGCTCTGTACTAAAAGCACAATTAATTTCAAACTTCATGAATAAGTTACTGGCATTTCTTTTCAACTTGTTACAGAATTATACAACAGGAAGATACATAACAATAGTCATTTAAAGTATATATCAATAAATATCTTTGTTTTACTGCACATGGTAAAAATGTTATAGAACTACTGCAGACAGAAAGGTGAGCATGAATTAGGACTTCTGTGGGTGTCTGTAGCTGTGAAGAAGTTTACCATCTTATTGTTGGCACTAAGCTAATCCACTGAACATCTAATTCATCTGCCTGTAACTGAATAAAATATATACACACACACACACACATATATATATATATATAAAAAGAAACTTACCAGATAAAGTAAATGTACAAACATCAAACTTGAAGTTACATTGGATGGAAAACCCACGGGCACTTTCTATCATCAGCATTTCTGCTTCTTGATAGATGTATGTGTCTTCTATTGCAATTGGTAGCTGTCTGACACCCTCTTTCTGGACTTTCACAGACTACAACCAATAAAGAGAAGACTGGGTGAAATGTGTACAATAATCCTGATTCTGTTCTAATCTTTAAATTATGAAAATGACGGACTACCAGAGGTCTCAGTAATACTATTTTGTTTCTTACAAGTAATTAAATATATAATTTCACAAAACAAGGAAAAGAACATTGGGGATATTTAGTACAATGTAATAAGATGAGCAAATCCTCTTCATATTACTCCCATCCCCAGCTTCTCCAATTTCAATCAATGACATAAAAAGTGACAGACTTAAAAAATTATATGAAAGCATTTACCTATCAAACAACATGAAGAATATATTATGCATTGTGCATCTGTGTGTTTGTGCTCATGCAGTAATTAAATAGGCCATTATCCCCATCTGTATGGGTGTGAAACTTCATCCCTGACATTAAGGGAGGAATATAGACTGAGGGTGTCTGAGAACAGGGTGTTGAGGAGAATATTTGGACCGAAGAGAAATGAAGTGACAGGAGGTTGGCAAAAACTGCATAATGAGGAGCTTCGTAACTTGTACTCTTCTCCCTTCTTCGGAAGCTGCCAATTGTGCAGCTACTCAAGAACTTCCCAGCATTTTACAGAAACCAAAGGTTCATTACTGTGATCATAACTCTCCACTGGTCCCTGTCCTGAGCCAGAACAATCCAATCCATATCACCCCATCCTATATCTCTAAGATCCATTTTAATTGTCCACCGATCTATGTCTTGGATTTCCCAGTGGTCTCCTTTGTTTCAACTTTCCCACAAATATCCTATATGCATTCCCCTTCTCTCTCATTAGTGCTACACGACCTGCCCATCTCATCCTCCTTGACTTGATCATTCTAATTATACTTGGAGAAGAGTACAAGTTATGAAGCTCCTCATTATGCAGTTTTCTCCAACCTTCCGTCACTTCATCTCTCTTCGGTCCAAATATTCTATCTCTGCTCCAAAAAATTAACAATTTAGTTATATATACATCTCATCATATTTGTACATGTAAAACATTTTGAAAATAAAATGTATTTACATTCAGAACATATTTTCATTCAATTAACTGTGTAAAATATCATCTTCCCTTCTTTTCAATAGAATCACGTAGTACCTAATATTGCAAGGTGATAACAAATCTTGTTCTTTTGACAGACTATAGCATTTGACATGCAATTTGAAGGATTACAGTAAAGAATGCCTACATTATGCAGTGCATTTCTTCTCTCTTATTATGCTTACTGCCATATACTTACATTTTCAAACACATTCACTTGCACCACTTGTTTATCTATAAGGAGTGCAAGCTCATGAGTGTTCACCTTACTGTTAGGGCTGTATGTGATTACGAGAGAGAAGTTCCTATCTACAAAATCTTGAGCAAGCAAGTAGGAACATGATCCTTGGAACTCAAAAAATTTTCTGTCAAATGTCATGAAATGCTGAGTTCCTGCTATCATAGCATCAGCTGAAACAGATGGAAAATTTATAACAAAACAGGGAAAACATTTTGAGAAATTAATGAATATTTCACTTTTATTATTGCTGTATTCATTGTACTGTCTAGTTGTGTAATAACTATGTATGTATTCTATGCTCTATATTATTTTATGACATGTTCTATATCCATCTCTGGATCCCTTGAACTTACAATAAATATAAATACAAATACAAATGCTGAAATCCGTATTACTAAATCACGTTAATATGTGAAAATACAAGTTTACTTTGTTCTGGGAAAGGCATATATGAGGCATCATACTAAATCCAGAAATTGCAAATGAATTGAGAAATGGCTGTACTAAAACAGAAATACAAACAAATAAGTTCACATAAAGGGCATATTTGAAAACTGTAACTGTATTAAAATCACTGATTGATGTTAGAGATATTTTAGAGCATGATTAACACACAAAATGAATACTAACAGCGAATATGAGTTTTGTATTTTCCTAGCACAAATTATGTTTTGAACTTAGGGCCAGAAATGCTATTGTTACATTCTTTGCCTATCACTAAAACCAATAGTTTTAGCACAAATAAAATATGTAAATTAAGAATGACCAAATGCTTTTCATTATTGCTAAAACTGAGAGTTTTAGTACAAATTAAAAAAGTGGAAATTAAGAATGGCTGAGCAGATATTTCTATTATGGTACATATATATTGTGGGAAGTCAAATATGACTGAAAATATAATTGAACTCTAAATCTATGGACTGTAGTTAAATGTGGGAAAGAAATATGACAGCCAATGAAGTAGATCAAAATTTCTTTCCATGAAGATTACTATCTTCTGGGATATTATGCTATATAGTCCGTTCAAAGTCAACTATGTTTGAGAAGAGAATATTGTCTCCATGTTCATGGTCGAATATGATGAGCAAGATATCACTGGTTAGCCTCTCAGAATTATGATGAAGGCATTACTCGCCAAAGTGTAGGATGTCTCACCTTTGAATGGTGGCAGCCAACATGCTGGGTCTAACAGTGTCCTGTATTTATAAAAGATATTCCAGAATGTGAAGTTGGACATAACAAAGTAAGACTGTAGCTCATTCAGTGCTCTGTATTCTGGGATTTCCTAAAAACATTTGAAATATTTCATAATTATGGTATATACACTTTATGTGGAATCATGATTACATAGGATAACTGTAAATATTTATGTAGGTGTATAGCAGAGTAAGTATGCTACAAGCTGGAAGGTCACGGGTTCAAGTCCCGATGAGATCATTGGATTTTTTTCAATTTACCTAATCCTTCCAGCTGCACAAGGCCCTGCAGTTTACTCAGCCTCTAACAGAAATGAGTACCAGGAATTAATTAAATAATTTTCCTGGGGAGTGAAGTGCGGCCGGTGCGTAAGGCTGACAACCTTACTGCCATCTTTGAGCCGAATGTCAAGGTAATGTGGGACTCTTTAACGTCTCACAACCCTATGGGCCTTCACAGCCTGTTACAGGGATAGCTTTATTTTTTTTTTTTACTTTACTATAGCAGAGTAAGGCTCAGTTTTGTAGAACAAATGCTATGAAGAAATAAATAAAATGGAGGAGTAAAAAATGAGGTAAATTAAAAAGATCTAGAAGTCTGTGACAATGGTATATCAACACAACTATTGTGTTTCTGGGCATTATTCATGTTCTCTTTCTATTCAAACCATTGTCTGGTTTTTATTTATTTCCTGAATAAATAAAAAACAGTTAAGATCCTACCTATTTCAACATACACTTCACTCTGTTGATGAAAATGTATCATGCAAATCAGTGGGATATATTATGTGAATTGGTTTGTTTTTATGAAATGTATCTATTTTGCATGGTAGTATGAAGGAACTTCGGTGAAATTATGTTGCTTTTAGGTATGTATTTAGCGGCCTCCGTAGTCTAGAGGTAACGTTCCCACCTCATGACTCATGGTACGTGGGTTCAAATACCCGGTGGAGGTCGTCGAATTTTTAAGGGCGGAAAAATTCAGGGAACAAGTCCTCCGGGAGGGACTTTAAGCCGCAGGTCCCGTGTCGTAGCTTTACGGCACATAAAAGAACCTCATATCTCCAAAGGAGATCACTGAGCCAAATTCAAGGATGTTTCCCGCCCAACAGCAGTCTCTAAGGCCTCTGTTAGATGGGGGAAGCATTATAGATACTGCCAAGCCAGTTGAGAACTCGCTGGCTCAGTCAGGATTGATGGTACGCACCAATACCGGTAGGGTATAGAGACTGGTAGAATATCATAGATGGAAGCACAATGGACCAATACTGGTCCATTAACTAGGTATGTATATAAGATAAGAATAGTCTGACTATAAAGGCAGAACTGGACTGAATGGAATGTTAGAGTATCCCTCTAGTCTTCCCACTTTGCCCAAAGGACAAGTGTTTGAAAATATATTCTGCAATACATCTATTAATGCTGATATTCCTGGATTTTACTACATGTTTCTAGCTCGTTCCCTAACAATATCACATTGTGATAGCTGCCTACCAACAGTACAGGCACAAGTGCAGACATTTCTGAACGGAGTTATTTAAGATAAATTAAGCCATAAATTTCTGATTACTGGTCACAGTGTAGTGACACAATAAATTACATTTATTTGATTATGTTATAAATATGGGACACTAGAGCATCATCTGCAGTATAGAACCAAAGTACTTACTTCAAATTTAGGAGTTTCATTGAATGCATGCCAAGACATGGGAAGCTTCTGTTCCAATTCAACATTTCCGCTCTCTGGGTCAAATATGAATTTTGTTTTAGCTTCTCGATACCTAAATAGAAAATAAGAGATTAAAGTCAAATATCTGATAGGGAAAGAGAAATACATTAACATGAGAAGAGGAATGGATACAGGATACTGATGGGAAAGCCAGAAGGAAAGAGACCACTACGAAGACCAAGACGCAGGTGGGTGCACAATATTAAAATGGATCTTAGAGAGATAGGATGGGATAGCATGAATTGAACTGATCTGGCTCAGGATATGAACTAGTGGAGGGCTCTTGTGAACATGGAAATAAACCTTCAGGTTCCATGAAATGCTGGGAAGTTCTTGAGTAGTTGCACAATGGGTGGCTTCTCAAGAAGGGTTCAGCTCCATGAGTGAATGAAAGTATCATCTGTCCTAGCATCCAAAATTATTATATTTTTGTTTGAAAAAAGTAAAAAAATAAATTATTATTATATATTTTATTGGACCAAGGACATATGATGTGTAGTCATCATGAATTTGTAATGTGTGACATGTTTTGTATCCAGCCCTACGGGGAGGCGATCGGATCCATGAAGTGAAAGTAAATGTAAATCTCAAAATATATTGGAAGAGAGCAACCCACATAACCCATTCTTGTACCTACTTGTTTTCAACTTGAAGGGCAGTCTGTGTTATATCAGTCACCTTTTTGTGAATCATTCTTATTGCCATTTGCATCCTTGTTCCAAGATCTAATGATTCGTACACCCAAATCACCTTGAAAATAAACAAGATCAAATTCATTAGCATAACTGAAATTACTTTAAATAATAAATCTGAGTTAGGCCCAGGTATTATGATTGTTCATTACTAACAACAAACAAAGGCCACGCCACAGCTAAAGCGGTTAGTCGCTGGCTTCCCACTGCGGCATACTGGGTTCAATCCCGGGTCTGGTCAAGCGGGATTTATGGTGGACAAAGTGGCGCTCAGGCAGGTTTTCTCCGAGTACTTCGGTTTCCCCTGCCAATCTTCATTCCACCAACTGCTCCACAATCACTCTCACCTATCATCTGGGGCTGGTACAGTAGGCCAGGAGTGGCCGCAGTACAAGGGACTTAGTCCCACCCCACTAGCAATAAAAAAAACAACAAACAAAATAATTATAGAATGAAGGGGATACAAAAAATGTGAGAAGCCCAGAAAAATCTTCACTGACAAGCTTAAACCAACCAAGAAATACTGAGAATGATACTGTACACTTACATTCCAGGTTTATATCTGATACCATTTCTAAAGCTTCATGAAACACTAACGGAAAGTGTTGGTATCCTCTCAGAACTCTAAATCTTGTATGGTTACAATGGGTGAGAGGTGCAGTGGGCAAGAAGTATATAGAAGCATCTCACTTCATTACTGATGAATTTTGTTCTTGCTGCAGAAGCTGTGCCATACAAAATTCTTACATCCAGTAATGCATAGAATTTACTTTATTCATTTTAAATAAATTTCAAGAGAGGAATTAAATTTACTTGAACTTTCTGGTACAATTGTTATAAAATATATCTAAATTGATTATTTAAACACTTTTTTCACTTTTGCAGCCCACAGACCAAGTAGTCTGCAGTTCATGGAGCATTTATCCATTGATTTTATTATTTATGTAAACCTTTCATGCATAATTTTTACATCCTGGATCTGTGGTTCTAACAGGGGTGACTATGAAGTGGACAGTCTTTTGAGTTGTACCGCCATGTATTACGAAAACAGCCAGATATTTTGAGGGAACATTTTGCCTCAATCTTCCAGGTCTGTTTGTTGTCTTCTTCTGCTGGATTTTTGCTTTGTTTACTCTTCAAACCTAAAGATGGAGGTGATATGTTCCTTTGAAATGTTGGGCTGTCTCCAGACTACACAGAATTACAAAACAAAAGATCATACTCTTCACCATATAAATAAATCATTGTTTCTGTTTTTGTTGCTGATTTTTTTCTTATTTGAAAATATTGTCAAAGTTGTTATTGTCATCATCATCATCATCATCATCATCTTCAACACCACCATCAATAATTATCTCTACAGGCATGTTTGATTGACTGCCCAGGTAATTAGCCAGCGCAGTAAAATAAATATTTTAGAAATTTGCATATATATGATAATTACGTATAAAAATTATTTGCTAAAGAAAACAGTTAAATGAGCAGTTATTTGACTCCTCCCAAACTTCCACAGCTAAACAAGAAAAATGGACATGTTCGTATTTCAATACAAACAAGGTCTCCATCAGTGTTCTTGTATAATCCATAAAATACGACTCCTGTTACATACACCAGACAGCATATAGTAATACTGAGTAAGCTGGCTCTGACAGGAATGCTATACTATGGTGATATTTAGTGTCAAGTGCTCTGTATAATTTGCTACCTCTATTTAAAGTGAGAATATGTGTACACATAATATACTTAATCAAACAGAATGTCACTTACCTTAGAATACAGTTCTTTTGCTTTCTGGATTGCATAATTTATAGAGGGAAGTTTGCTCAATACTTTAAATTCTTCAATCAGCTCATTGGCAATCTGGTGAAGTTCCTTTCCTACAACCAGTAAAATGTTCTAGTGCTCAAGATATAGTGAACTGAACAAGTATAGAAATCAGAGAATGTATAAATATCCAGACACCATAACATCACTGTAAGAATTTAAATAAATAAAGCGAGTTTCAGAGAGTACATACATTTACACAATGAAGGATAAAAATTGATTCTAAATTTCATCAAACAATAAAGTCTGGGATAGTCATGCACTAAACTGACAATATTTTGGACAGGATAAGTGGTTGAGAGACGAGGTTTGAACTGAAAAATTTAGAGAAATGGCTGAAAATGAAGTGTTATATGATTTGCAGTGTGAACAATTAGTCTGAATGAAGGGTACAGATCACTGAAGATGAAGGGGAATAATGTAAAAAGGTGTTTGGGAAAAACATAATTAAATGACAAGAAAAAACACAAAATCCTGTATTTACCGACATCTATATAACATGTATAATTCAAAACAAAATGATGAACTAGCCAATCAATGAAGATTAAACTGAAAACGATAAAAGATGCATCATTTACACTTATTATATGATAATACAATGACACTTAATTTGTATACTATTATGAGATTTGGATTACCCAAGAAAACACAATTTTGTATATCAGGTAAAATTTTACTTCTAGGATAAAAAGTGACTTAAATATAAAAATATTTTACTGGTGAATGTAATAAACCATACTTTTTAGAAGCAAATTATCACTTGATGAATATTACTGATGTGCATTCTTACCAAATGGCACTATGGTGAAATATTTTTCTCTTATAAAGTCATATAGTATTTTGGAGTATTTCTTGATATTGGTTAAAATATCATTCTTCATAATATCTTTGTATATTTTATCTAAATCCTGCCCAAAGTCATATATCTTTGAGAAATATGGTGATTCCAAAACATCATTTTTTCTCTCATACAGGAAATCTGAAATAAATGCAGTGGAAACAATTACAGCAATAAATTAAATTTTAATAAGCGTTTCATTCTGTGGAAACTATAACAAGTTTTTATGACAATAATCACTGCATTAATTACTTATTTACACGTTCAGCATGGAAAAAATATAATTATAATGATGCTGATGCAAGCATACACTGCAGTACTCTGTTAATCATAACACACAAATATTTTTAGTACTTTCTTGTGCTACAGTTCAATTAGATATCAGCTTATTTAAATAGCAAGTAATGTTTCTGTTAACAGACACAAATCATTCTTCTCAAAACGAAATGTGTCAAAATTTCACAATTGTTAGAAGAAGGCCTCATCTGTGATCAGCAAAATGGCTTAAGTATGAACTGAAATAACCTTAACAAGTGTGTATATACACTGTCATTATTTATGTTTCTACAATATAGTTCAGCCTTCCTTGCATCTGGCATTAGCTGAATTATTGTTTAGTTATAATTATAATTTTTCTGGCCAAAATGAGAAGTTAATATAATCATAATTTGTCCACTTTTTATACAATTCTGTTTATTCTGCTCATTAGCTATTATGAATGGGTTCTGAGAGAAATTACTTTTGTTATACTGATGATAAATGTGTACTATGTCAACTCTGCCTTTATTTGTTAAATAAAGTGAAACTGCTTATCATATTCTTGTACAGACAATTTTACAAACAAAAAGAAATAATTAAGGGACCCTAATCCTGGAGCCTGAATTTTCATATTGACCAGGCATCAGCTTATAACATATAAAATCTTAAATACTGAATATAGACACAATATGTCCAAATTTTCAGCCACTAGCGAGGCATGCATGTGTACTCAGGCATGCGGACAAACACAAACACACACACATGCATGAGCACACACATACACATAGTCTCTCTCCCTTTCTACTAGCTTTTTCATAATAAAGTTAGCTGAAAACATGTAAATACATCAAAATATTAAAAAACACTTTTTCCTTCACACTCATAATACTTTCTTATATATAACACTGCATATGTAAATTGGAAAGCGGTTAATTTATATAATGAAGCTGACAATGATTTAACTATTCAAAGCAGGGGTATTTATCTGCTAGGCTATAGAATAATGTGGAGGCAGTATTATTTACTGTACTGAGGCCACAAAAAGGCCGATGTAAGTTTTAAAATTTAAGTAATATACAGAAAATGATTCTTACCTAAGATTTCTTTGCTTGCCCTCCAGAGCGCACTTTCCAAGTAATGAAGAAACTTAATAAATGTAGGTTCAATTGTTTGTAAGAAATTGTGCCAATGGTATAACAAGAATGTGGACAGTTTATTCCATAAATTCTCCACTTGTTTAATAAATGCAACATGTAGGTCCTTCATAAACTGTAAATACAAGAGGATACTAACAAATACATATCTCATAACAAATAAAATTAACATTATATTGATGTATTATAAGAATTTATTTCACTTACTCTGTCATACTTCTCGACTAACTTCTCAAGCAGTGCGGTTATTTGTGCTGTTGAGTTACCTTTAAAGATTCCATTTATAAACTCTACAGCCTTCTTGTATGATGCTTTGATCTACAGAAAGTGAAAATTTTACATTATTATAACTCAATTAAGAGAATATATTTATGCATTTCAGAGATCATGTATGAACACAGTCTTTTTGTTCTATTCAACTGTCTAATATGGTAAAAGAAAGTTCAATTTGTTATCATTCAATACACAATTAAAAGAGTTATCAGAAATTCCAGGAAAGACCTGGGTTCAGATGGAGTGTCCTTGGTCTTACAAAGGTTTTTAAGGAATCGTTTTTGTTAAAAAGATTTCAATTTGACATAAATACTTGAAAAAACTTACAGATTCAATAATCCAGAGTAATGACTTTCTAATTGCCTCTCCTGAATCTCCCATCACCTCCCACATTTCATTTAGAATTTCAGGCAATGATTCAAAATGACCCCTGAAATTTCAGAACAAAATAAATACAAGCATTTACATGTACAAGTATTTTTATATATAAGAAAACAAGAAAATAAATTATTTTATTCACAGAATACCTGAGTGATAATTCATCAATGATATACATTGTAATGCCAACAATATCTCGGATGTAAAATTCATTTGCATTGTAGGATTTGTTTAAGTAGTTCTTAAACTCTTCAAAATCTTCTGTTAAATTCTTCAGTTCACTGAAATGATAACGAAATAATTAGAATTTAAATCAGAATTACATATACAGATGGTTTATAAATATGTGAGAAAACATCTTCACATATAGCTTAATAATAAATGTAGGCCATGCCATAGCTCAAGCAGTTAGTCACTGGCTTCCCACTGCAGTGGCCCTGGTTCGATCCCAGGTTTGGTAAAGTGGGATTTGTAGTGGACAAAGTGGCGCTGGGGCAGGTTTTCTCCGAGGACTTCAGTTTCCCCTGTCATTCTTCATTCCACCAATTGCTCTACAATCAGGCAGGTACAATAGGCCAATCAGTGGCCGCCATGCCAAGTGGATCCAGCTGGGCTCCACCCCCCACAATAAGCGAATTGAAAAAAAAAGTCAGTGGTCACTGTGTTCAAATATATGGACCTAGTGTGTGTGCCACGGCTTATTACTTCTGTATTAACTTTATTTTTCAATTAAATGCCCACTGGGCCTATTCAGTTATTGCTTCCTTCTGCTACATACGATGATCATAAATTGCGGTCAAGAGGGCCCACAGGAGGATAGTGATTTATCTGTTGCTCAATGATTGGCTATCTTTCCCTTGAAGAGGCCTCAGTTTAACCTTCACTGCATTTATGGATGTTGTCCTGCTTCACTATTCTCCGTGGGCCTGGTATTCTGCTCCTTAACTGAACATTTTATAATCTGATTCAATTATTCACAACCCCTCTCTAAGCTTTCCTCATCTTAAATTCCTATTCTCATCTTTTGCTACACTTTTCCACTATTCTCCGCTTTGAAGGCCACAATTACACTTTCATATCTCACATCTGTGCATTATCTTCATAATTTATTCCTAATAAATGGCCATAGGTCTTTCCTGCTGCCAACTAGAAAAACGTTTTTTACTATGTGATTCTTTGCTCTTAAGGTTTTAACTAAACTCACGTAGAGTCATATGTGTGAGCAGTATTATATATATTCCAAGCAGTAATGGAAAGAGATTCTTCAATGCAGCCATTAGTTACCTGATATCATCCAGGAATTTTTGTACAATTGGTTTTGAATCCAGCCAGACGTCACTTACAGCTTCTGTGGTTTCAGACTTAATGTACTGCCTCCAGTAATCTATAGAGTCAATAATAAAATTCCACACTGAATCAACAGTGTCATGAATTCCAGTCTGAAATTGAAAGTATGGAATTTAATGAGAAAGAAGAAATTTGAAGTCATCACTGTAGAAATACAATAGAAAATAGCACAAAAATGATCCAAAAATGAACTTATGTTGATATCATTTATCTCACTTAATTGAATTGTCAATAACATGTTTCTGAACAAACAAAACTGAATAATGCAACTGGAGATAAATTTTTATAGTTTTATGAATGATGATATAAATAACATTGACACTGACAGCCAATCCAGCATATTCCTATCTTGTTAGAGTATGAACAAACAGGTCACATAATAACCATGGGCGCAAGTGGTGGTGGTGATGGCGAGATGAACGTTTGCTTCCTACAAATATTTAGATTTCATACAAATATGAATTTGCCTGAACATAACTCCAAATTTAACCTTCAATCCAATAATATGGTAGCATGTAGAGCTGTTACTGTGCAATAACTGCAAGATAAGCAAATATACCTTTGCTGTTTCTAGATAAAGGCTTGGTAAACACATTCCTGCAGCAACAGACATGAACGCAACAACAGTACAGCAACAGAGGAACTGTTTTCTATGTGGCCCATGCTGAGATCCTATAATTGAGACGGTTTGGGGCACCTAATTAGCTGCAAGAGTGCTCAATTGAATGTTTGGCTGTGAAGAGAAGACTTTATGTGTGATATATGGAATGTGTATTTCATTCAGAATGTTACATTTCCTGTGTTAGAATCCGTTGCCAGGAAACAGCTAGTGGAGAGTGTGATAGACTGAGGACAATAGTCTGTGTGTGTCAGTGATCTGTAAAGTGTAGTCACGGATCGTGAATATATAAGGGGTCCATGGATCGTGATCACCAATCCAAACCTCATCTATAGTCACTCATAACTCCCCAGGTTTAAAATAAATCCAGGGCAAATCATGTGGAACTGTTAATGTGTAAAGTGATATTGAGGCAGATTCTTTGCCACAATCACTTACTACTTCCCTCACTGGACACACTTATGCACATGCATGCATGTATACATGACCTCTGTACAGTCAGCTTCCATAATTAAGAGCTCCAGAATGATAAACCTGTATTGAAACGGGTCTCAAATAATAACTGTACAGTTGAATGATTGTACCTCATTTTGATATGCTTAGCTTCTTATTTCAAGAAAAATATGCATGAATAAAATACAAGTAAAATACAATCGTAAAATTAAAATAAGTATACCGTTATCTCGGTTTTAATTTCAGGGCGCCATTTTAATTTTGAAGTAACAAGACGAGAATGATTCAAACGTAGATAAAAGGACATATCTGAAATACGAATTTCTTCATAATCTCTCCAAACATTGAAGATGACATTTCGAACATCTGGGACTATTCCATACATATTGAAACTCTCTGCAGCATCTGAAACATTTATAAAACCATATTTACTTATTCATCCAGGTTTTGTAGGTAGACAAATTTCGTTTATATCACAAGAGAAAACTATATGAGCATTTGTGCAAATGGATTGTACAAGGTGTGGCAATAAAGAAACCGGATTCATGCTCTAACCCTTTATTAAAAAAAAATCAGACAGTCGAAATGTTATCCCCTTCAATGTAGTCCCCTCCCCGATCCCTACACCGCTCCATGCGAATTTTCCACTGTTGGAAGCAGTGCTGCAGGTCATCTTGTGTTATGCTCTTCAAGAGTTGCGTCGCTTTTGCTTTCACTGCATCCACGGACTCGAACCTGGTCCCTT